GCTTTGACGGGTTTAATGTTTGTTCGGCTTTTTGGCATCCCGATGCTACAAGACGGCCCAAGAGGCTTCCAATACCGCTCCTATATAGAGGAAGAGGCCTCCAAGAGGGCCCCTACTTCTGACTCCATGGAAGCTAAGTTGGCATCTGCTGTCACGACGGCGCCAACAGCACTCCGAACACGAGCCGTCGCAGCCTGGCGCCCATGGATGTCTCAATCTACGTTGGATTTCACAAGAATAAGGAACACGGACTACGACAACAAAAAGACAACAAAAAGAACGATGAACAAAAAAGACAACAAAAAGACAACAAAAAGACAACACGGACTACGACAACAAAAAGACACGACAGCACTCCGAACACGAGCCGTCGCAGACATGCCCAGGACTACGACAACAAAAAGACGATGAACAAGGCAATCCGGAAGGCTGTCCATAAAACCAAGAGAACATGGATGGAAAAGACATTGGTGGGAGGAAGCTGAGAAGCAATGCGGAAACTATGCGAACCCGCAGAGACGAAGCACGCTGGCGCGCGAGATCTGGACGGGCACGTGACAGACACTGCTGCGCGACCAGATGCTCTCGCACACTATCCCGAGAAAAAGCCATGGGACATACGATTTGCGTAGTTGGCGCTTACGTCGCAAGAAGACCTGGGCCCGATTCTGAACGTGAATACATCCACCTTTACGATCGCCGAGCTTCGGCGTGCCCTCCACAAGATGAAACAGAGAAAAGCACCAGAGAAAAGCACCAGGCCCCGACGATGTGCCCCCAGAGCTCTGGGAAACAATTGGTGAACATGATGACGCCTGCAATTCGCTATTGCAAATATGCCAACAATGTTGGGTTGATAAAGAGTTGCCTACAATTTAGAAGAAGGCTGACGCACTCTTACTGTTCAGGAGGAGGGACGCGACGCCTCCCAGCAAGTACCGCCCTGTTCCATTGCTGCCGGATACAAAACACTCGCGGCGATGCTTCATGGCAGGCTACTGGAAGGAGGGGCTGAAGACCGGATGTGACAGTCTCAATTCGGCTTCCGGCCGAAACGCGACCCGGCAGCAAAAGCATTGCGTTAACCCGCAGAATGGTAGACGCAGCTTGTCAAAACGAGAAGAATGGATTGATGCTGTTACTATTGGATTGGGCAAAAGCATTCGACCACATAACGCTAGATTGTCTGTGTAAAGCGTTGGGGCGTTCCGCCTTCTATTGTCGAGATGATCCAGGGCGTTTCCGCTCATAGATAACCTCTGCGACCACCCTTCGGGTGATACGGAGGTTATGGGGTGGGGGGGAGAAGGGGGGAACCAACATCTGACTCAATCGATCCCACTATCGATCTCATTCCACGGGACACCACGGGACAACACGGGACACTTGTCGATCTCACCATCGATCTCACTATCAATTTCATTCAACGGGACACCACGGGACTCCACGGGACCCCGCGGGACACTTCTCGATCTCATTATCGGTCTCACTATCGAGCTCACTATCGAGCTCATTCACCATAGGACACCACGGGACACAACGGGACACCACATCGATCTCAGTATCGAGTTCACTATCGATCTCACTCAACGGGACACCACCGGACACCACGGGACATCTGTCGATCTCACTATCGATCTCACTTCTTGGGGCACCACGTGACACCTCTGGGCACCACATCGATGTCAGTATCGAACTCACTATTGACCTGACTCAACGGGACACCACGGGACACAACGGGACACTTGTCAATCTTACTATCGATCTCACTCAACGGGACACCACGGGACACCGCTAGGGCCACCGCTGGATGGAAGATAATCATGTGTCTTGACGTCGCCCAAGCAACGGCGGACACCACGGGACACCACAGGACACCGCTAGGGACACCGCCAGACGGAGGATAATCATCTGTCTTGACTTCGCCCTAGCAGCGGCGGACACCACGGGACACCATAGGACACCACGGGACACCACGGGACACCGCGGGATACAGCTGGGGCCACCGCCGGACGGAGGATAATCATTTGTTTTGACGTCGCCCTAGCAACGGCGGGTTCATTCCTCTCGCGCGCCCACGCAGCTTCGCCTCGCCCGCATGCACGACACGAACGAAACGGAACGATTTCCCGCCTGGGGGTCTCCGTTCCACTCCGATCTCACCCCCAATCTCCGATTTGACGATTGTTGATCACTGTGGCCGCTCAACGGAAAAAAAGGCAAAGAATGGCGGGCATAGCCCAAGGCTGCCCTTGCACAGACTGCTCTTCTTCACGACGCGTTGTCTGATCTGTTGCTGGTGGAGGGATGGGAGTACGTCGTTATCATGGACATCCTCTACGCGGACGACACCTTGCCCGTGTCGACCCACACCGAACATTTACAACAACGATTGGGCAATGTTGCATCGGAGTGGCAAAAGTATGACGTGTAAGTAAACAGGGATGAAACATTACATATACAATTTGGTTGCCAGAGCGCGCTGAAACAACCGAGTGGGAAACCCGTAAAACAACGTTAGAGAAGCTCTATATGTATGTATATATATATATGTTTGTATACATATACATATATATGTATATATATATATGTATGGGCGGGTTCTTGTTTTGCGACGGTCGGGCAAACCACGAACTCTCTGGAGGGATAGGTGAAGGCACGCATATGTTCGAGCGGCTTCAAAAACTATGGCCTCACTCGTCGTGTGGGAAGCACCACACACTACACATAGTGGTGGTGGTGGTGGTGGTGGTGGTGGTGGTGGTGGTTGTGGTGGTGGTGTGGTGGTTTGTGGTGGTGATGTTGGTGGTGGGTTGTGGTGATGGTGGTGGTGGTGATGGTGGTGGTGGTGGTGGTAATGGTGTGGTGGTTTGTTGTGGTTGTGGTGGTTGTGGTGGGTTGTGGTGGGTTGTGGTGGGTTGTGATGGTGCTGGTGGTGGTGGCGTTTTTGGTGATGGTGGTGGTGGTGGTGATGAGGTGGTTTGTGGTGATGGTGGTGGTTGTGGTGATGGTGGGTTGTGGTGGTTGTGGTGGTGGTTGTGGTGGTGGCGGTGGTGGTGGTGGTATGGTGGTCTGTGGTGGTGGTGGTGTGGCCTTCGGCTCTTCTGGACTGTATCTTGGCTTTGGGTCAGAGTTCTAATGGATGCCTCTTGAGGTCTCGTCAGAGCGGTCTCGGGGGCATATGAGGAGCATGCGAGGGCTCGATATGGCGATTTGTATGTTCCCTCTGCGGCCTCTGGGCCCTCTCTGGTCATCGTCGCTTCGTCCCCGCCGTCGGCGCTGCTGGCCGCCTCCAGCGCCGGTGCCGGCGCTGGCGCGGCGGGGGGGGTGCGTTTGAACCCCCCCCCCCTCCTGGGCCCTCTCTGGTCATGGTTGGTGCGTTGGCGCTGCGGCGGCCGCCAGCGCCGGCGCCGGCACCAGGGGGGGGGGGTTTGGAACCCGTCCCCTCTTGGCAGGGAGGGGGGGGTTGGGTGGGGGGGGTTTAGGGGGGAGGGGAGTCCCCCTTGGTTTTGATCGACGGCGCCGAGTGTTGGGGGGGGGGGGCCCACCCACCGGTTCGAAACACGCCGCCGAATGTTCTCAGGGCAAGCGCCCGTGAAACGCGCTCTCTCAGCGGTTGTGGTTGTAGTCGTGATTGTAGCGCGGCTGTCTTCGCAACTCTAATCGCGATTGTAGTCGTATTTGTAGTGGTAATCGTAATCGTGGTTGTAGTCGCAATCGCAGTCGCAGTCGTAGTCGTAGTCGTCGTTGTTGCGCGGCGGGTGCCGCGGAGAAATGATTATGTATCTGATCTTGATGGGATCCCAGTCCGTCAATAAGGTCGTCGACATGAGAATCCGTTTCCGCTGTTGGGGGGGTCTAAAGACCCATCTCGATGAACCGAAAGCTTAGAATCCCAAATGGTGATTTCAGGTACACGGAAGGACAGCGGGTGTGCCCCACATGAAGTTATCGCTTTCGCGTTGCGCACGTTCGCTTGGCAATTGGCAGCAGCGTCACGGATGGATGCGGCCCGTTTTCAAGATGGGTTACAAATGTGGGGATAGTCGACATTATATGTCGCTGCGTCGGACCAGGGACGTATTTTTGCGTAGCCGCTGCACGGTTGCAGGGTGGGTCTTTTTCAAAACGGTATCTACAGTTGGAGATCTATGCCGAACAAGCTTTATGACCGTACTTCTTCGCACTCTCGATAGCTAGAGGGATGCAGCAGAGCAGGTCATCTTGCCTGAAGCTTCAGGCAAGATGACCTCTTGTATCGGCGCATCCTCTTCCTCCACCCCCTCCCTCATCTCACGTCACATTGCTTCGTCTCCTGTCCCTCCCTCATCCACGTCATATTGCGGAGGGGGATGGGGGGGGAAGGAGGAGGAGGAGGAAGACCAGTGTAAACCCAAGAGTCACCAACGATGTTGGAATAAACCCTCCCTCCAAGCTCCACGTCATCTCACGTCATATTGCTTCGTCTCCCTCCACGTCATCTCACGTCATGTTGCTTCGTCCCCTCTCCCTGCTCCTCCTCCATGCCCTCCTCTCCCTCCGCCCGCTCTCCCTCGTCCTCTCCCAGTCCTGATAGCTATGGGGATTCGGCGGGGCAGCTCCTCTCGCGGCCCTCACCGCGTCGTGGGATGACTTGCTGGTCTCCACATCTGGGAGCTCGCCGACGTCTGCGGCTCGCTGTCGCTCGAGCAGACCAGGCGGGAGCAGTCAGCATGATCCGTTCGGTATCGGCAGAAAGCAGCTTTGGCGGGCAGCGGCTGGTTTCTTTTCAGACGTCGCCGGCAGTGGTCAGTGAGCCAGTTGGCTCAAGTTGCTGAGGCTCGAATCTAGAAGTCGTCCGACGTGCTCTAGAGCCAGGCAGAAGACGAATGTGCGCAGTCACAGCTTGAGTGCTCTTTGGTGCCATGGTCCCGACATGTCCATAACCCATGACAGCAGGGCGGGGAGCAAACCTCGCCCCGCGCGCGCGCCTTCGCATGGCCACGCGCGCCCTCCCCGAGGCCCGCGGGCGCTGCGCACGGCTCTCAGCGGAGCTCGGCGCCCTGAGCGCCTGGCGCGAGGAGTGGGGCCTCGGCGGCGTCCTCGCGACGGCGACGACGACGTCGACGACGACGACAACGACGACGACGACGCCGACGACATCGACCGACGACGACCCCGCGACGACGACGACTTCGACGACGTCCTCGTGTCGACAGCGTCGACGGCGACGTCGCGGTCGACGACGGCGACTCTGACACGGCCATGACGACAACGGCCGCGACGGATCCACCGACGATGCCGCCCATGAGCATGGTCTGGTGGCCTTTGCCCCATCCCGCCAGCGCGTTGCTCCCAGGGCCAGTTCGGACCCCCTCCCCCCTCCGGGAACAAAAAGAACTGATTACACAGAATGCCTCAATGTGTTTATTTCTGGGGGCTGTCAGGTGGGCCGCCCCCAGAACGCACAGGAGCGCCCGAGAGCGCCAGGAACACGGCGGACCTGGGCCCACAATCGAGCACTTGGGAGTCTGAACGCTCAGCATAGGGACCTTAAAGCTTGAACGGATGTGAGGACACTCAACTCAGGTGGCGGAGACGGGTGGATTCTCCAGAGAATGCTGGAGAAGAGGGAGACGCTTGAGAAGCCCGAGGCCTCTCTGGAGAATCTGGCCGTGAAGTTGTCATGTTTTGACGTCGCCGTCGTTGGCGACAATCTTGAGGACGACAAGGTTGCGACGACGGCACCGAAGTTGACGTAGAAGACCACGTTGACGACGACAGCATCATCGGCGACGATTTCGTCAACGTCAGTGACACCCTCCTGATCCCCGTCGTCATCTCCCGCTGCTTCGGTTCTACGTAGCACGACTAAGAGTTTCCGCGTCTTCGGGGTGCTTGACGGGCAGGCAGGGCGTAAGGAGGGTGTGCCTCGCCTGTCCTAGCGGGCACTACATCCAACGACTGTCCTCCTAGATTCAATGCTGGTGTATAGTTCGCAGTGTGCTGCCAGCGCGGCCCTCTGAGGAGTCTCTTAGGCAAACAGCTGCGGACGTGAGGAAGAGCCGCTGCAATCCCACCCATCCCGCCTGCGCTGGGCTGTGTGTGCAACTGTCTTCGGCATCACGCAAACATACTTATAGTGTGTGTGCGTGTGCGTGTGCGTGTGTGTGTGCGTGTGTGCGTGTGTGTGTGTGTTTGTGTTTGTGTTTGTGTTTGTGTTTGTGTTTGTGTGTGTTTGTGTTTGTGTGTGTGTGTGTGTGTTTGTGTGTGTGTGTTTGTGTGTTTGTGTGCTTGTGAGTGTGTTTGTGTGTTTGTGTGTTTGTGTGTTTGTGTGTGTGTGTGTTTGTGTGTTTGCTTTGCGTGTTTGTGTGTTAGTGTGTTTGTGTGTTAGTGTATTTGTGTGTTTGTGTGTTTGTGTGTTTGTGTGTGTGTGTTTGTGTGTTTGTGTGTTTGTGTGCTTGTGTGCTTGTGTGCTTGTGTGCTTGTGTGTTTGTGTGTTGGTGTGTTGGTGTGCTTGTGCTTGTGTGTTTGTGTGTTTGTGTATTTGTGTGTGTGTGTGTTTGTGTGTTTGTGTGTGTTGTGTGTTTGCGTGCTTGTGTGCGTGTGTGCTTAAGTGCTTGTGTGCGTGTGTGCTTGTGTGCTTGTGTGTTTGTGTGTGCGTTTGTGTGTTTGTGCGTTTGTTTGTTTGTGCGTTTGTGCGTTTGTGTGTTTGTGTGTTTGTGTGTTTGTGTGTTTGTGTGTTTGTGTGTGTGTGTGTGTGTGTGTGTGTGTGTTTGTGTGCTTGTGTGGTTGTGTGTTTGTGTGTTTTTGTGTTTGTTTGTTTATGTGTGTGTATGTGTGCGTGTGTGCTTGTGTGTTTGTGTGTTTGTGTGTTTGTGTGTTTGTGTGGTTGTGTGGCTGTGTGGCTGTGTGTTTGTGTGGTTGTGTGTGTAGGTGTGTTGGTATGTTGGTGTGTGTGTTGGTGTGTAAGTGTGTAAGTGTGTAAGTGTGTAAGTGTATAAGTGTGTGTAAGTGTGTAAGAGTGTGTGTAAGTGTGTGTAAGTGTGTGTAAGTGTGTGTGTAAGTGTGTGTAAGTGTGTGTGTGTGTGTGTGTGTGTAAGTGTGTGTGTGTGTGTGTGTGTGTGTGTGTGTGTGCGTCGTCCCTGCAGAGGGGTACGCGCGCACTCAGAAATCTTGTTGTACAGGCGCGGTGGCGGGCGCTTTTTGGCGCTACCGCTCGGCGAACGCTATAACATAAGATGCCTGTGCGATATGTTCCGTGCGGACGTGCGCCTCAAAGGGGGCCCTGAGAAGGCCTTCCCTCCCCGGGAAGGCCTCCCTCCCCAGGAAGGCATTCCCCTCCCTGGGAAGGCCTCCCCTCCCACTGGGAAGGCCTCCCTGGGAAGGCCTCCCCTCCGTGGGAAGGCCTCCCCTCCCTGGGAAGGCCTCAATGCGTGCTCGCGCGCGCAGGATGCGACCGCGCTGATGCAATGAGCACAGTGCTGGCATGTCCTGCGTCACATATCCTGCCAGGCCACGGGCACTGTCAGCGACGGGTTGAACTGGCAGGGCAGGTTGGCGGGGTGGCCGACGCTCCAGACAGCCAGGCCGGCGCCACGCCGTCGCCTGCTGGCTGAACCGGGTTGGCCGACTGACCTTTTCCACAGGGGGATTGTCGACGAAAAATAAAAAAGCAACAAACATGCAACAAAAAGGTAAACACATGCTCAAAAAATAGTCCCCATATTATGTGTTGGTTATTTTTTTGATTATGTTGGGGGTATTTTTTCAGTTTTCGTCGAAAATCCCCCTGTATGGGGGACAGGCCCGACGTAAGGCTGGTCGGTTGACCTTTTCTAGCAACATCGGGAAGCAGAACAAAGTGGCCGACGCCCTGGCTCGGCCTACGCGTAAGAGAGGCTGGCCACTTCTGCGTGCAACCGTCTGGCTGGGAGAGGCGGAACATCCGAGCGGCCACGTGCAGCAGCAGCGCGCAAGGGGCAGCGGCTCGAAGGACCGCACTGCGAGGCCGCACTGGCAGCCGGGGCTCCGAGGGCGGCTGCCTTGGACGGGCATGGCGCTCGCTGGAGGGGCCGAGGAGTCTGCAGAAGAGGATCTCGGTGGAGGGGGCGGTCACCACCCACCAAACCACCCCAACCCAACCCGAAGGCCCCTCGTGTTCCCTCCATTCCGAGTTTGTGGGGGGGGGGGGGGGGGCGTCGGGGAACACTGAAAACACGCATGCGGAACCCGCACTCCCCCCAACCCGAAATTTGCGTCTTCGGGTTAGGTGGTGATGGTCTGGTTCGTAGTCAGGAGGGCAGCCGCTGGTTTCGCCCGGGGCTGGTTTCGCCCGGCTGGTTTCGCCCGGCGTTGGTGTCGTCCGGGCTGGTTTCGCCCGACGCTGGTTTCGCCCGGGCTGGTTTCGCCCGGCTGCTTTCGCCCGGCTGCTGGAGGAGGTGCAGGAAGAGGAGGAGGAGGGAGGAGGAGGAGGAGGAAGAAGAGTAGGAGAATGACGAGGATGACGCGGGGGGGGAGGAGGAGGAGGAGGAGGAGGAGGAGGAGGAGGAGGAGGAGGAGGAGGAGGAGGAGGAGGAGGAAAAGGAAAAGGAGGAGGAGGAGGAGGAGGAGGAGGAGGAGGGGGCAGGACGAGGAGGTGGGGGAGGTGGGGGAGGAGAAGGTGGAGGTGGAGGTGGTGGAGGAAGTGGCTAAGGGAGGGCAGGACGGAGGGAGGAGGGAAGAGGGTTAGGTCCGCTGGACCCGACCCGACCCGACCCGCTTGTTAGGATCCGCCCGTCCCGACCCGACCCGACCCGCCCGTTAGGGTCCGCCCGACCCGACCCGACCGTCAGGGTTCTCGCGTGCTCTCTCGATGATGCACCACACTTTAATGTCCTGCCCGCCCGACCCGGCCCGCCCGTTGGGGTCCGCCCGTCCCGACCCGACCCGACCCGCCCGTTAGGGTCCGCCCGACCCGACCCGACCCGACCGTTAGGGTTCTCGCGTGCCCACTCGATTATGCACCACACTTTAATGTCCCGCCCGCCCGACCCGACCAGCCCGTTACGGTCCGCCCGCCCGTCCCGGCCCGACGGCGACGACGACGACGACAACGACGGCGGCGGCAGCGGACTCGGCGAGACCAGCCCCGGCGAAACCAGCGGGGCGAAACCAGCGTCGGGCGAAACCAGCGCCGGCGAAACCAGCGTCGGGCGAAACCAGCGCCGGCGAAACCAGCGTCGGGCGAAACCAGCCCCGGCGAAACCAGCCCTGTCGAAACCAGCCCCGGCGAAACCAGCCCGTGCCGTCAGGAGGGGCGGAGTGGGAGGAGGAGGAGGAGGAGGAGGAGGAGGAGGAGGAGGAGGAGGAGGAGGAGGAGGAGGAGGAGAGAGGAGGAGGAGGAGGAGGAGGAGGAGGGGGGGGAGGAGGAGGGGAGGAGTTGAGGAGGAGGAGGAAGAAGAGGAGGAGGAGGAGGAGGAGGAGGAGGGAGGAGGAGGAGGAGGAGGAGGAGGAGGAGGGAAATGGATCACGCTCCTGCGCCCCGCAGAGTCTGAGTGTGTCGCTGCCGTCTCTCCCCCGACTCTCCGGAGGTGGCAAAAGACACAGACACGAAGAAACGTCGATGCCCAAGAAAATGTGGTGAGGTATGAAAAGTGGAGGGGGAGAAGCAACTCCAGGCCACATTGTCAAATGTGTGGGTTCCTGCGATCTGTGCCTATCAATGTGTGTGTGTGTGTGTGTGTGTGTGTCTCCCTGGACCCCTCAGGGGGGGAGGGGTGGGGCGGAGGGGGGAGGAGCGGGGAGGGGCAGGCCCCCCCCCCCTCCCATTCCCCAGTGGGGAATGGGAGGGGAGGGAGGAGTGAGCAGGAGTTGGTGGGAGCAGGGGAGGCCGGGAGGGAGTAGGGGAGGGGAGAGGGAGGAGGAGGGAGGAGGAGGGTGGAGGAGGAGGAGGAGGAAGCGGGAGTTGGTGTGAGCCGGGGGAGTACGGGAGAGAGTAGGGGTAGGGGAGAGGGAGGAGGAGGGAGGAGGAGGAGGACGAGGAGGAGGAGGAGGAAGAGGAGGAGGAGGAGGAGGACATCCCCTCGTGCGTCTGCCCGCCACCCGCGCGCGGCCACCCCTCGCCCAGCCGCGGCACCCCGCCCGCCCGCCGCGTAGGAGGCGCGCTCTGGCGAGGCGCAGGCCGCCGACGAGTACCACGAGGCCCTGGGGCGCGGCAGGACAGGGGCAGCGTTACAGGGAGGGAGGTTGTCGGAGGCCTGGGGTTCTCGGGCGCGTTCGTTGGTTATGGTCGGTGTCCTGGAGCGTTCTACGTGCAGGAGCGTTGGCTCAGAATGTCGCCCCGCCGGTTCTGGCCCACCACGCCTCGGCACGACACGCCATCACCTTCCCGGTCCCCAGGCTGCAGCGCCCCAAGCCTTTCCGGACCTCCCACCCCGCGGAGCGGAGCGACACGCTATCCGCTTGCAGGGCATAGCGTGTCGCCAGGGCCGCCGCGGTGACATGCTAAGCAAAAGTTCCCGACCGTAGTCGGGCATTGAGTGAACGCCCACCGAGACAAGTCGATTGAGGAAATCAGCCGTGGTTCACTCGACAGTGGCATGCGGCATGCGAGTGCACCGATGCAGTCCGCAGTCGGCTTCGCTAATCGACGAGCGTTTCGCCTGATACATTCGGTGCTATTTGGACATCGATTAGCTACCCCGCGGGGGTCAACTCGGAAAGTGGTGCCTTGCTCACGTGGAACTCCCATGGCAGCTTTCACTAAAAAGGCCTTTTGCTAAAGGCCCCCGAGTTAGGCGGGGGGCAGTTGTTCGAGGTCCGGAGCTGTCCAGCACATTTGATGGTTCTGGCAGGTCTTGCAAAGCGCTCTGGGGGTGCCCAGATCGTCCCGAGCGGCCGCCAGAGAACCGAGCTGTGACCTGAAAGCCCGGGGGTCAAGTGTAGAATGGGATACGGTGGGGACGTTCGTTCAGGATGCGCCCAGGAGGCTGCAGACCCTGGAGGATTCCTTCTCTGATGCGGGCGGCGGTGACATCCATGACCAGCCTTCGATTGGAGTTCACCCGGCCTCCAGACTCTGGACTCCTTACCTAAGGGTTCCTTATCCAATGCCCCCACCGTGGGCTCAGGGGGGGGGGACGCATCGACATCCGACAACCGATCGCCCATTCATCGCAGGGAGAGAGCCCGACGGCCAGCCCGGCGCAGGAGCGTGCGGACTCGCGGTCGGGGGCCTATCGCCGACCTCTCGGCGGGGTGTATCGCCAAGTTGAGGTCGATGTTTCCCCCCTGAGCCCGTTCCCCCCTAACGTCGCCCTTCAGGAGAGGGAGGAGGAGGAGGAGGAGGAGGAGGAGGAGGAGGAGGAGGAGGAGGAGGTGGAGGAGGAGGAGGAGAAGGGAGAGGTGGAGGAGGAGGAGGAGGAGGAGGAGGAGGAGGAGGAGGAGGAGGAGGAGGAGGATGAGGAGGAGGAGAACGAGGAGGAAACAAAATGTGTCTCAAGCTGTGAGTTCGCAGTTTTTTCTCCACATCCTGAGTTGGGGTTATTGTTCTTGTTGCGACTCATCCACCTTCCACTCCCACTCCTCCCTCCTCTTCCTCCTCCTTCTCCTCCTCCTTTCAACGCCGTCTCCCACTCGCCTCGACACATCGAGGCATTCTTGGTCAGACTCAATCATACTCAGACCCACTCAGTCCGACTCATTGGAACACAGGCTCAAGCTCAGACGCACTCACAGTCCCACCATTCACATTCAGGTCTTCTCATACTCAGCTTAGACATACCTAGACGAATACACATACCACTCACACTCTGATCAGTCATGTTCTGACTCATTCACATGCCTGCTCACACTCAGACTTGCCCACACCTCGTCACCACACGACCACCCGCACATGTTCGCCGCGATGGAGGAGGCATAGCACTTGGGCACCCCAGGGGGGTGGGGTGGGAGCCGCCAGAGGGTATGACACTTACCCGTTCGCGCCCAGACTGTGGGGATTTCTCGAGCGAGGCATCTGTTTTGCACCTCCGACTCCCTTCTTGCAGAGCCTCCTGACCACCGCGATGTGGCGGGCGTGGCGCCGGGGCATCACAAGGGGGGGCGCCGCCCAGGGGGTATGACGCTTGCCCAGTCGCCCCCAGATTGCGGAGATGTCTCGAGCGAGGCTCGTGTTTTGTGCCCCCCGCTCTTTTTTCAGAGCCACAGGGCAATTGCGATGCAGCAGGCATGCTGCGTGGGCCCCAAGAGGGAGCCGGGAGCCGCCCGTGGGTGCTACCCTCGCGTATTCGCGCCTAGAGCGAGTTTTTTTTGTTTCGTTTGCACCTCCAACCCTTTCCTTCCAGCGCCCCACGACCACCGCGACGTAGCGTGCACAGCACTTGGGCACAGCAAGTGCGAACCGCCAGGCGGGGTTTACACTTGCCCGCCCGCGCACAGATCGCGGAGTGTCTTCAGCCAGGCGATCCTTCTGCACCTCCGACCTCTCCCCCCTCAGAGCCCCATGAGCACCGCGATGCAGCAAGTCGAGCGCTTGGGCGCTGATGCATGCCCCCGTTCGCGCCACCACCGTGGGGATTTCTCGGGTGAGGCGCGTGGTTTGTGTTGTACCTCCGGCCCCTCCCCTTGCAGAGCCTCATGACCACCGCGATGCGGCAGGCGAAATGATCGAAGACGCCTACGGCGAATCACCGCCGCCCCCTGCCTCTTTCGGAAGCGCCTATGTGGCCGAAAGTTGGGCTAGAGCTTGGCCAAGCTATCGTACAATGTGATCCCCCAGCCGCCGTCGAAACCTTCGGGGAACACTTGAGGAAGGGGAGGATCAGGAGAAGAAGGAAAAGGGATTAGGAGGAGGAGAAAGAGGAGAAGGAGGAGGAGTAGACCTCTTGGGAGCATCTTGAGGCACTTTAGGGTATCCTGTGAGCTTCCTGGGAGCCTCATGGAGGCCTCTATGGGGTCTCCTTCGGCCTCTTGGGGGCCTTTGGAAGCTTGTTCGGGGCCCCTCTGAACCGTCTTCGAGCCCTCTTGGGGCGCTTCGGGGCCGTCTTGGAGGCCATCTTGGGCGTCAGGGAGGCCTCTTGGGCCGTCTGGGGCCTCCCTCTGGGCCGTCTTGGGGGAGGTCTCAACTGGATCTCCGTGCAAATCCACTCCGCGGGACCTCTCAGGAGCCCACAAAAGTGACGACGGTTTCACACTTCAGGGAGCCGCGAGGTCACAATTGGATCTCCGTGCAAGTCTACTCCGCTGGACCTCCCGGGAGCCCAACGAAAGTGGCGACGGTTTCGCACTTCGCAGCCCCCTACTCCGCTGGATCTCCCAAGAGCCCATGAAAGTGACAACGGTTTTCATACCTCGCAGCCCCCCAGGGAGCCGCGAGGTCTCAACTGGGTCCCCGTACAACTCCACTCCGCGCGACCTCCCAGGAGCCCACGAAAGTGGCGACGGTTTCACACTTCGTAGCCCCCCAGGGAGGGCGGCCGTGCTCTGGCCGCCTGCAGGTCAACTGGGGAAGCGGAGTGAACAACGCAACAGGAGGGGATGGGTGGGAGGGGTAGGATGCCAGATATGGCCCGAGCGCGCCTGGCTTGTCCTTGTCCCTCTCCCTCCTCCTCCCTCCTCTTCCTCCCCCCCTCCTCCTGGGGCGGGAGCTCCCTCGAATCTCGAACCCTGACGGGCTAGGCTGCGGTCAGCAATTCTGGCTCCTCGCCCCTTCTCCACAGTCACGCAGGGGGCACTCCATCCCCTACGGTAGGTTCATGCGGCGTTGGCGCGCCGGCGATGCCGGCGAATGCGTTCAAGGTGGAATTCTGCGACGCGTGTTGAAGTACCGAAGGACGCGTTGACGCCACTGGACCCGGCGGAGTGCCACCTTGCACGATCGGGGCCGCGATCGGTTCAGGGCCGAAAGATCGACGCGGTGGCAAAGACCGTGGCGCTCCGACGCCGCGCGAACCTGCCGTATTCCTCCCCTCGGGCCCTTCTGGCCCAAGCCTGCGACCCCGCGCCGCGTGCGCGCCTCCACGTGCCATGCTGTCGCCCTGGGCGATGCGCCTGCCCCCCGTGTCCAAGGGCGAGCGCGAGCCCCTGCGGGGGCCCGGGCCCCTGCTGGATGGCAGGCCTGGGGGGACCCTCGGGCGGGGCTGGGATTCAGGTCGGGCGTGTCCCTCTACGGGAGGAATGTTCGAACAGACATCGGAAAATAGTACGGGGACGATTTTTTGATCATTTTTGCATACTTTTTGGTCATTTGTCATTTGTCTTCCAAAACCCGCCTGTAGGAGGACATGCCCGACCGAAGGCTGGGACGAGGACAAATCCGTTCCAGAGCAGTCGGGAACGCTCTCAGAGCGTTCCAGAAGGCTTTGAGAAAGCGGCGTCCGACACATCCCCCAGAGCCGCCCGATCTCAGAGATTCTCGATTTACCCTCACCCGATGTTATCCTCGTCCTGGCTCCGTCTGAAAGCCCACAAGACGATCCAGACATGCCCGCGTCGCGAGGAAGAAATCACGCCGGACGGTTTCTGGCCGTTTTTTTTGGCCTCCAGGGGCCCTCGCCGGGCCCCAGGACCGCCCAACAAGGATCCGGGACGAGAAAGATGCTCCGGGGAGATGGCGGAGAGGTCGGGGCCCGCGCCTCGAAGACAGCGGGACGCGCGATGCTCGCGCGCCGAAACAAAAGAACATCCAGGCGGACGGTGGCTGGCCATTGGCAGCCTCCAGGCGCCCTCGCCGGGCCCCGGGAGAGTCAACAAGTCATTCGCGGGACGAGAAGCCGGCCCTGGGGAGAGGGCCGAGGTTCCCGCGGATCCCCGCCCAGCAGAGAGTGGAAATCTCAGGTGCCCAGGTTCCCGATTTCACGAACTCTTCGCGGTGGGGGGGTGGAAGATCATGGCTGGGACCCTGACATCTCCCCAGATCTCACGGCGCTCTTTCTTACTTCAATGCGTTCCCTGGGCCGCGCGCAGGCCTCGGGCCATGATTTGCGAACCCCCTTGTTGGACGCTCCCGAATGTTTGGGGGAGACACGAAGACATCGCAGGCCTGGGCGCCAGCGCAGGAATCGTCCCAGAGCGTTCTGGACCGCTCATCAGCGACCGCGGCGCCCGACACATCCTCCAGGACCGCCAGATCTCAGAAGTCCCCGATTCATCACGGTCCGAGATTGTCCGGGTCATCGCTTCGTCTGTTGGTTCTGGGCGTTCCAGATGGGGTCCGATGCATCGCCGATGCGGCTCGATGCGGAGCTCGACTTTCTCCACACTGGCGTCGCCGATGCACCGCCGACGTCGCCGATGCATCGCTGGTGCATCGTCGATGCATTGCCGATGCATCGGCAATGTAGCGCGATCCTCCGACCCGATCTACTCGGACCCCATCTGGGAGGCCTCTATTGGTGCTCTCAGGCTATCAGCTGAAATCCGAAAGGGTTTCGTACGTAAGGTGTACGGCGTTCTCTCGACGCAGTTGCTGGTGACGCTCTGCATCGCGGGGCCAGTCATGGCTTACACCAAGCAGCTATCCAAGCAGGACCTCCAGAAGCTGTGGGCGGTGGGCACCATCGGCAGCATGCTGGTGATCTTTGCCATGCACTGCTGCCGCAGCGCCGTTCGCGCGTATCCATGGGCTGCCTTGCTGACCTTCTCCGCCTTCAAGGGCCTGCTGTTCGGTGCCCTGAGCGCGCACTACTCGTGGCAGAGCCTGCTGCTAGCTCTGGGAAATACAGTCCTGATCTTCGCCGCGATGACGGCCTATGGCGTCTACTCCAAGACCGACTACACCGGCTACGGGCCGTACGTTCACGCCGCCATGTTTACATTTATGTTTTTTGGGTTCACGTTGGGAATTATGGGCTGGTGTGGTGTGCACATTCATTGGATGAGGGTCGCGTTCGATTTGTGCGGTGTCCTCGTCTTCACTTTCATGATCATGTTCGATACGCAGAGGATCCTCGGCGAGTGGGGTGGGCACCAGTACCAGTTCTCCGTGGACGACTGGATGTTTGCCGCGCTGACCTTGTACACGGACATCACGCAGGCGCCGGGAGACGCACATTTTCCCCTCAGGCCAAGCTGGGAGTCAGGACAGCTGTACAGTCACGCCTCACGACGCTGAAAGAAGGACCATGTCGGGCTCAGGATGGGGGCTGCTTTTGGGGCCGCTCTTAGACCTAGGTCGGGGGGTGGCTAGAAGTGGCCACACAGGCTCCTTGGTTGCCTTTTGAGCGTCCCTTGTCGTAGCACGGTGACTGTAGGTGGATGGGTCATTCGAGTCCTTCTGAGGTGTTCATGCACCTCCTGCGCTTGGTGGGGAAGCGGCCGTGAGCCAGGCCTCCTGCTCCTCCTCTCCCTCCTCCTCGTTTTGCTTCTTCCTTGTCGTTTCCTCGCGCCCCCCTCCTCCCCCTCCCGCCCCCCCCTCCTTTCTGAGTCCGTATGTGGTTCTTGCAGAGTCCACGTGCTCCAGGAAGAGCAGGAGGAGGAAGCGGAAAAGGAGTCGCTCCTCGGCCAACCCCTCCCGCGCAGCCTCGCCTCCTCCCTCTCGTCATCCATCTCTCTCTTGACGTGTTCCTGCGGATTCACGAGTCCTCCTGCCTCTCCTCGTGCTCTTTTTCTCCTCTGCCTCCTCCCTTTCCCTCTGGGGCGAGGCGGGGATAGTCTCGTGATGCCTCTCGGCGTTGGCCTCCCTCCTCCATTCCTTTCCCTTATACACAACTTCTCCCTGTCGCACCCCAGGGCCGGTCGAAAGAGCGGGCTGGGCGCTTCGCCGGAGATTTCACCACTTTTGACCTCGAAGCTTCAAAATTGGCAACAGTCTCACACATAGAGGGCGGGTCGTTTTCAAAATGTTTCTCGCTTTAGCGCCGCGCAAGTTCGCTTGAACAAATTACAAGAGTTTCACGGATTGACGGCGGGCCGTTTTCAAAATGTGGCTCTCGGCTTAGCGCCGCGCACATTCGTTCTACACATTCGCAAGAGTTGCACGAATTCAGGGCGGGTCGTGTTCAGCGCCGCGCACATTCGTTCAAAACATTTGGAAGAGTCTCACGGATTGAGAGCGGGTTGATTACAGAATGTGGTTCTCGCCTGAGCGCCGCGCACCTTCGGTTTTCACGTTCGCAAGAGCTTCACTGATGGAGGGCGGGTCGTTTTCAAAATGTGTTTCTCGCCTTAGCGCCGCGCACATTCGTTTTAACCTGTGTCAAGAGCCTCATGGATTGAGGGCGGGTCGTTTTCAACATGTGGTTCTCGCCTGAGCGCCGCGCGCAATTTAAGATTGCAAGAGTTTCACGGGTTCCCATGGTCGATGTCGGCGTACCAGAAATGGTGTTTTGAAGAGATTAAGGATAATGATGTCGCAGCAGTTACTTTGATTCGCGGTTTTGAAGTCCCAGGAATGCGTTTTGGCACGATTCAGGATCGTCAGAGACGCAACAGTCATGATGATCCGTGGCGTTGGAGTCCCGAGAATAATGTTGTGGCACGAGTCACGCTCTTCAAACGGTTGACTTCCAACGCGGCAGTTCCCTCCGTGGAGATGAACCGTTGAAGGAACCTGTGAAGAGGGAGCTTGGAGGGAGGGCTTATTCCAACATCGTTGATGACTCTTGGATTTACTCTGGTTCTCCTCCTCCTTCTCCTCTGCCTCCTCCTTCTCGTCCTCACCCTCTGCATCTGGAGCCACCCTGAAGACATCAGAGAACACATTATTCTCGGACCCGATCATATACGTCCTCTTCTCCCCCGTCCACCTGCTTAATCATCGTCATCATTCGCCTTCTCCTCAGCATCTTCCTGATCCTCGCTCTCAAGATCTCCCCCGCGGCCCCTTTATCACATCAAACCTAGAGCGGTGTCATGCCTTGGAGGCGTTTGTTGAGTCCATTGTCTGTTGAAGCTGCCGCAGCCAAAACTGTTGCTTCACTTGAGCTAGATTCGCGCGGGGCGCGCCCGCCCCCGTTCCCCGCGGTCGCAGGAAAAAACGATCCGGTTGTATGTTATTGTTTTGTGGCTGCATGCGGATCCAGCCCAAGTGAAGTAACATTCTTGTTGGAGCAGGGATGGACACACGAGAAGCCTCCAAGTCATCCCGATTGAAATCACAGAATCGACGACCAGCCCCGGGGAGAAGTGAGAAGGAGAAGGCCTTCTCAAAAAGCTCGGAAGTGCCCCAGCCTTCTGAGAAGTTTGCTGAGCCTTCCCCGAAGACGCAGCAAACTTCTCACAAGGCGCGAGGGTTTCTGAGAAGTCTCGCCGCTTTTGCGTGACCTCCAGAACCCATACCAATACCCCTTCCCTCCGTGCTCTTGCTACCCCCACCCTCTTCCTCCTCTTCCTCCTCCTCCTCCTCCTCCTCCTCCTCCTCCTCCTCCTCCCCCTCCTTCCCGTCCCCCTCCTCCTCCTCCCCCTCCTCCTCCTCCTCCTCCTCCTCCTCCTCTTCGTCCTCCTCCATCTCCATCTCGTTCTCCTCCTCCTATTCCATCTCGTCCTCCTCCTCCTCCTCCTCCTCCTCCTCCCCCTCCTCCTCCTCCTCCTCCTCCTCCTCCTCCTCCTCCTCCATTGCTCACCCTTCCCTTTATCCTCCTCGTCCTCCCCCCCCCGTCCTCCCACCCCCTTCCCCATCCCAAACATCCAGGGGCTCCCGTCTTCTTCTTTTTCTTAGTATTATTATTGCTAGCATTATTATCATTATCTTTATCATTATTATTATTATTAGTAGTAGTAGTAGTAGTAGTAGTAGCATTATTATTATTATTATTAATCTGTTTATTATTATTATTATTATTATTATTCGCATTATTATTCGTATTATTATTTTCATTATTATTATTATCATTATTATTATTAGTAGTAGTAGTAGTAGTAGTAGTAGTAGTAGTAGTAGTAGTAGTAGTAGTAGTAGTAGTAGTAGTAGTAGTAGTAGTAGTAGTAGTAGTAGTAGTAGTAGTAGTAGTAGTAGTAGTAGTAGTAGTAGTAGTAGTAGTAGTAGTAGTAGTAGTAGTAGTAGTAGTAGTAGTAGTAGTAGTAGTAGTAGTAGTAGTAGTAGTAGTAGTAGTCTCCTCCTCCTCCTCCTCCTCCTCCTCCTCCTCCTCCTCCTCTTTCCCCCTTCCCTCCCTCCCCCCCTCGCTCCTTTCCCTCGCCCCCTTCGTGCTTTCTCCCGTCTCCCTCCTTCCCCCTACTCCCCCACCCATCCACTCCCCCCCCCCATCCACTTCCTCTCCACCCCCTTCCCTCCCTCCTCCCTGACCTCGCCGGCGCACATCGCGCGGCCGCCCGTGCACCCACCCACCCCCCGCGCGCCGGGTGGGGGGACGGGGCTGGCGCGGGGGGGGGACTCCAGCGGCCTTCGCCGGCGGCCGACACGGCGGCCACACACCCCGCGCGCGCGCGGCGAGAATGCCAGCCCTTGCCGCCGCCGGCGACGGCAGCTCGAGGAATAACAAGATGGCATAAACAGAGATTTGCGGAGATCCTCGCGGATCTCTTGTGTCGGCGTTGGGACCCCTTGGCGGCGCCTCTGGCGCCGCCCCTGGCGCGATCCAAGCACCGATTCAAGAAGTCCACGCGGATCAACAGTTCATGTTTATGCAGCGTTGTGTTCCTCCAGACGGCGGCGGCGGTCGTGGTGGCACGCGGCGGCGGCGACAGCGTCGACGAGCGGCGGGATGTGTTCGGAGGATTCGGGGGGCAGCGAGGGGTCCGATGGGGGACCCTGGAGATGTTCTGAAGCCTCCAGCCCGTGTCTTATCGCCGCAAAGACATGGATGACTACGAAGGATCCCAGGGGGATGTCCAAGGTCGAGGCCTTTCAAATTGGGCGGGAGAAGCTGGGGTCGGAGGATCGCGCCGCATCCTTGATGCATCAGCGATTCGGCGTGACCCCTGAGCTCGATGTTCTCCATCCCGTCGTCTCCGATGCATCGTGCAATGCGGTGTGCTCTTCCGATCCCATCTAATCTGGCCCTAGTTGTCGGGCAGACCTGGCATGAGGAGCATTCGTTCTAGAGCGTGCCAGAATTCTCGCAGGGCGCCCCCGAACGCTCTGGACGGCTGCATCGCCCGAAACATCCTCCAGCCTCGCCCGCCCTCTGAGATTCTTAAGTAATCCTCGTCCCTTCTTCGTCTTGATTTGGCTGGCCTCTAGAGGGGGGGGGGCTCTGGAGGTCTTCGGGGGCATCCAGCCCGTGCCTTGTGGGAAGGGCGTGGAGGGCTGCTCCGTTCGCGTCTTCCTGCTTTGTGTGTCCTGCGCCTCCGACGTCTGCTCATAACTGGACTCCGAGCTTGGGGCTCGCGCTGGCTAGCACGAGGTCGATATACCCCAGCCCGCATTCGATGTATCGGCGATGCGGCGCGTCGCGGGGGGGCGCGGGCCCCGGCGTGCGCGGGCGGATCGCCGGCGCACCGCCATTAGGGGCAGCAGGTGGGTCGCGGGGGGGGGGCGGGGCGGGGGGGGGCGGGACGCGGGGCGGGTCAGAGTTCGTTGAGGCAGAGTGACAGAGGCATCCTCGAGGGGGTCCGAGTACGGTGAGGGCATCGGATCAGGAACCATTGGATAAGGAGTCCAGGGCCTGGAAGCCCGTGGAGCTCCAATCGTGGATTGACCATGAGTCTCACCGCCACCCCCATTAGATATGGAACTCTCCAGGGTGTGAAGCCTCCTGGCCGCATTCCTTAACGAATGCCCCCACCAGAGATGGTGTCGGAGGATCGCGCCGCGTCAGCCTCCCTCCCTTTCTCCCTCCCTCCCTCCCTCCCTCCCTCCCTCCCCCCGCCATGCTCCAGGGGTGCCCTACAGGCTGGTCGTTGAAAAGATGTGTTTTTTGGATATCCAGATCCCAATATACTTCAAGCGCCTGCCTACTTCAAGAATCGGCATGCTTATGCTGTATGTTGTAATTCTTTGGGTGGGCTCGAGCCCAATATATTTGTCCGCCTTCATGCTTCATGTGTCCACCTATGTCTTCCGACTGTTGGTCTTAGCAGATGGTGGAATCATAATCAACAAGAACGGTTCCCGCCTGAGACGCCCTCGCAATTTATTTCGAAATCGCGTTCGCACGCAGGATGTCCGAGCAAGTTATCCAGGAATCGCGCTCTCGCGTGGCACTGCCTCGCAATTTATTGCGGCGCCGTGCCGCCAACACTCAGGAATCATATTCTCGCTTTGGATTTCCTGGCGATGTACTTGGGACGCGCGCTATCGCTCCAAATATCCGTGCGATTCATGTTGGATTGACGCTCCAGCGACCTGTCCGCTAGACCTGGCCGTTTGGGCCCGCCCGCCCGACCTGCCCGTTAGGGTCCGTCCGCCCGACCCGCCCGTCTTT